CATCCACACCACTATCACACCAGGGGACACATCTTGCCTGGCAGGTCAGTATTATAGCATTCAGTTTCCTTAGCTGGGTAAGACCATTAGTGACTTCTCTCCCAGTAGCCTGCACAGCACTTTCCAGCACTATAGAAGCTAGCCAATGGGGAGGAAATTTTCAGGTCAGTTCCAGCTTGATTTTTCTATGTACCACAACCAACATGTGTGGTATCTTTAGCAACAGGTCATACCATCTAGTTTTGGTGAGCAACCAGCAGCGACAATACTTGTACTGGAACACTTAGTCTTTTACTTTTAGACTGTTGGATGGAGCTGTTACAGAAAAATAAAGATTTCCCCAGCCAGTCTTCTAGGTTGGAAATATTTTTGCATGTCTGTGGAAGCCTAGTCTTCTTTTGAATCTTGATGTAAGCCATTGATTTTACATGAAGACCTATATTAGCCTAGTCACTCACAGACATATTTATACATAATTGTTAGATAGTTGTCTGTGTTTATTCTAATAATAAATGTTTCAAAGCTATTGTTCTCTAGGGTCTTCAAATAAAGAAAGGTATTTGTCTCTTTGGAATTTTAGCCACACTACAATTAAACTAAAATGCAATCAATAAAATATTAATGCAGGTGTGTTTGAAGATCAACTACTTAATGGTTAGGTCCCTATCTGTCATTCTTTAGCTTCCTGAAAGTCAAGATATAGCAGAGTGAATGAGTTAACCAGCAAATTGGAAACACAATATATATCTAATTGTGGGTTTGTTATTAATTCCTTAATAAGGTGCATGACATTGCTGCCTGGCCTTTTAAAAACATTTTTCCAGACTGGCTTGCTGCTTTGAAATCATCAAACATTGTTTTAACCAGTTAGACATCAGTTTAAGACTATAAAAAATAGAATTATGGGATGTTAGAATAAGTAACAGCTCTGAATTCTCAAGTCGCTGGCCTCTCAAACATCTGCTGAATCCTAGCCAGATTCTGATCTTGCAGGTACAGTACAGCTGTTGGGCTTGACCTCTGCTTATTATTCTTAGATACACAGAATGATCAAGGAATTAAGTAGATTAAAGCACAAGAAAGTAGCAGAAACTTACACTAAAAATTCAACCTCACAGTTGGTAAATGCCATGGAACTTCTTGAGACAGCTTTGGTAAGGGAGAACCACCACTTTCCTCTCAGAAATGAGGGTCTAAAACATCCATCACTGGCTTTAATCTTACGGAAGTTTCTGCCTTTAAGACAAAGACAAACGGATAGATTTCCTTAGAGTTCCTGTGGCAGGGGATGGATTTTGGGAACTGAGAATATAGCTTAAGGGGTAAAAGTGCTTTCTGCAAAAGCGTAAGGACCTGAGTTCAAATTCCTAAACCCACATAAAAAGCAAAGCATGGTCACATGCTCCTGCAACCCCAACACTGTAGGGATGGGGTGCAGATTCAGGAGGATCACTGATGTTTGTTAGCCACCATCCTAGTCCCAGGTCCAGGAAAAGACTCTGAATCAAAGGGCTAAGGGGGAGCATGATAGAGCAAGATGCTCAATACCCTCCTCTGGCTTCTGCACATGCATGGGTGCACACACACACACATGCACACATAGATTAAAAACATTGATATCTCAGTTGCCACTGTAATGCTGTATGTTGGTAGTAGAAGTAAAAATAAGAAAGAATTTTCACACTAATTTTCCACTCCTCCTTTGTATCTAAATCAGCTTTAATTATCCACTTTACTTCTTGCTGGACTATGAAAGAGTCTAAGGTTCAGTCATTTGTGGTCATCTCACAGTTCTCTACAAAGAAGAAAGTAAAGTTTTTGAGGTAAAATTTATACAATGTATCTAACTGCACAAACTTATTTAAAAAAAAAACAATTGACTGATACTACTGAAGGGACTTTCCATGTCAGGTTTTTATAAACTCACTTTTATCAAGGGCATGATCACAGTGAGTGGTTCTCACAGCTAAGGATGGCCACATGAGCTTGGAATCATTAACAAAAGCTGCTTTAATTTTTTAAATCGAAATGTATTGATTTTGTCAGATTGAGCCCAGCATTTTGCCTTCAGCTTTGACAAAAATCATTTCAACTGACTTAAGGATATTTCTCAATGTGATTGTTAGACAGAGGTCTTTTACAATAAATCAAGTTGACCAGTTGGTTTCTCATTCCTGCACTTATTCACACTTCCTCATTACCTTGTCATGTCTGAACAAGTTTCCCAGAGCCGTGGAGGATGGAGAGGAAGCAGCTTTTACTGCCGGATGTTTGTGTTTCTACTTTTTGAAGTACCAGAAGAGAAATACACATCTTTCTCCTTTGTGTGTCTGAAAGCAAAATGACTGGTCTACGGCAAAATTAACTATTACGGCTAGAAGACACCTTGGCCAAAATTCTGCTCAGTTTTCCCCCTAAGAAGAGGGATATGTACCACTACTATGTATAAGATCGTTTTAGGAAGCATACAGATAACGAATGACAAAGTTTAAAAATTATCTTCTTTTTAGATTTTTTTTCTTCTAATTATATTAAGAAGAAAGTCTCAGTCTGGTTCCAACAAAGAGCTATCTAAAGCTTTTATCTTCTTTTTTTTGAGATATTGAAAAGTTTCAGGCTCAGAATCTCTAGCAGACAGCTACGTGGAGTTTAATATTACTGTATAGTTTTCACAAAGTGGTATTTCAGATTACCATCTATACGACTGAGACATTTTAAATGGTAGTGATACAAACACTCTTTTTAAAACATACTTAAGGTAAAAATTATAAAATTTTGATTAAAAACAAATATTAAGTAGAAGTGAATATAGTCAGTATAGCAGTGCAAATAACACACAACAGAGGCATACCCTGCCATGGTGAAAATCATCAAGCTAATGTGGGAATGATTGGAATTCTGAGAGGTAGAAACCAATTATCTCACTATAGTAATGGGAAATCAGAAGCCCAGAGAGACCAGGAAAGCATGAAGTCAGAACTGTAGTCTATAGGTCATTATGAAGTCAGAATTACAGCCCCCACGTTACCATACGGTCAGGACTACAGCCCAGAGGTCACTATGAAGTCAAGACTACAGTCCACAGGTTATCATGAAGTCAGGACTACAGCCCATAGGTAAGAAGTCAGGACTACAGTCCATAGGTTTCCATGCAGTCAGAACTACAGCCCACAGATCACTATGAAGTGAAGACTACAGCCCACAGGTTACCATGAAGTCAGGACTACAGTGCACGGGTCACTATTATGTCAAGACTGCCGTCCACAAGCCACTATTGAAGTCAGGTCTATCGTACCAGTTCCCTTTCAAGTAGATGTCACCCTTTCACTTTACAGTTTGAAGCATATTCTTTAAAATGGCCTTTTCCTCTTTGTGAACAATATCCACTGAGGTGTAACTTGTAAGACAATAAAGCTCTACTTCTTCATCCTCATGAGTGCTTGAGTTGTCAAGGTTATTGAAGAGGGATGCCAGCTTTAGACAACTAGCCTGATTTGTGGAGCATGAGCCACTGAGAAAGTAAATGGCAGAAGTTGTATTTCCTCAATGTAAAATTTAACTTCAAATTCCAAGCTAGGGGCTATTTTTCCCATTCTCTTGGATATAGTTTGCCGAAATAAGTAAAAATGTGTTTTGCTTTAAAATATAAAATCTCACATTCTTAGACTCATTACTAGAGTAACATTCTAACCATTGCTTTACAAAAAACCCAACTGAACAAAATTCAAAACTGAATTTCTATTAGAAAAATTTTAGATAAAGAGAAAATAAGTATCTTGAAAAATCTTTAAAATACTATAATTAAGCTTACATTTTGAACAATCTAGGATTTTAAAAAATGCTGACAAATATTGTTTCAAAGGCATTTGAGAGGGTTGTAGAAGCAACCTCTCCTATGTAGAGGAGAAGTTCACAGCCTCCCAAGGTCCTGACCACTCCATCTGTGTAGCAGAACACTAACCAAACCATTGATTTTAAAAAGTAATGAGGAAAACTGGGGTGATGGCTCAGTGGGCCAAGTGCTTGCTGTGTAAGCATGAGGAACAGAGTTCAAACCCAGCTCTGGGAGGCAGAAACAGAATCCTGGGAGCTTACTTGCTAGCTGGCATTTCAGTGAGCTCCCAGTTCGGTCAGACACACACACACACACACACACACACACACACACACAC